ACCACGGGATGATAGGGATATTCCCTTACTTAATGTGACGCCTCATAATTATTATTAATAAATAATAATTAAATTCATTATACAGACATTTAAAAATGTCATAGAAATTATAATTTAAATAATAAAATGCAAATAATAAGCATAGAGTTCAAAAATATCCATTTGGAATATTGAATATTATATATATTAGTAAACGCATAAAATGTCTCAAAAAAATCTCTAAATTTATTAAAAACCTGCTTAAAATGTTCAAAATATAACAAATCATATAAATACAAGGCGATTATATTGCAATAACAAAGATAAATAACATTTGTAATATAATAGAAAAAATTGATAAAAATTTTCTAAGTTGATGAAGGTGTTCGTGTAATAATTGGAAAATTTCTAAGTTAATGAACGTGTTCTTGTAATGTTCCCTTATATTGGGGCGTTGTCGGAGACACATACCCAAGGTTGTACATATATATGGGGTGGTCGGCTGACCGACTGCTAGTACTAAGGTTGCACAATGACTAGTCCTATATTAGGGACTTAACATAGTAAGGTCTGACGAACCAAAGCATTAATATAGAAGGTCTCTATGATGCATAAGCATTATGATAGCAGAGTTATGACTTGAAGTCCCATATGAATAAGACATACAGTAGTATGGTCTATGAAATAAAGCAAATATGTGGAAGGTCTCAAATATGTAAAAGCATTATATTGAAAGAAATGGGACTTGAAAAGTATTATTATAGTGGCGTGTAGGTTGCTTCGCAGCCTCTGAGACCGAGGTAAACTTGGACTCACTAACCGATGTGTCCTAGACATATCATCTTAGTGCCGGTGGTAAGCGGGTTTGTTGTAGCAATACGACTTGCCCGTGGACATCGCACACCCCTACCGGTTGTGGGCGGCGTCTTAGCGCATAGCGTTATGATACGTCGGCTATCTTTCGGATTAGGGTGAGTGTGTTTGGTAGTACTTTTAAGTGCAGCAAGCATACTCAACTTCATGTCTTAGTGCAATAGCGCTATGATACGTGGAGTATTGGCTACTGACGTCTTAGTACCGTACTACTATGATACGTTGGTGGTATTTTTAGTTAACAACATTATCAAATTTTGTTACCAAAGTCGATAGGGATCATGTGGGTGTGTTGTGAGGGGGCGCCATCCGTATGATAGTTGCATTGATGCTTACTGCTACTTGCAGTATTGTGTCTTGTGATGGATCTGCGGGTGTGCTGCACCTGATTCGATGCATCTTGTGGTTCTGGTCGATGGAGGTATGCGGGTGGTGATGTCTGCTGGGACTGTATGGGGGACCTTGGGATGGTGTAAGCCCGACGATAGTCGTATTGATGCTTGTTGCATTCTGTAGCATTGCGTCTCTACGATGGTTGTTTGGCGGGTCGCTATTCTCAATGGCGCTCTCTGCGTCTTGGTTTGACTCACAACCTAAGTAGCTTTGCCCAAGTCGGGTCCCTTCATTGCGGGGCTGCAGACTGTCTGCCCTCCATGATGTTTTATATAACAACTTAATAATATATCTCTATAAAGTTCCCACCTTTGAGAGATTGAAGGCAACTTGTTGGTGGGTGAGACAAACATGATCGAAAAATGCATATACTCAACGTCAGTGACACAAACCCTTTCTGATGGCGAATTATTAATATTATCTTATAACTGCCTATTGGCTATATCTGCCATTGTATTGGTTGGTGGAGCATATGTGTTGACCTCATGCGGGTGGTAGCTGGAGGGAGAATCTGAGGAGGCTCTCAAGGCTGCGGCCGAAAGCCGCGCAACGTGGGACCCCATTCCCTTGAGGTGAGCGGTAGACTCATGACACGCTCTGCGGCCAATTGGCCGTGCTGACCATGCAATTGGTGGTGATGCCTTACACTTACATCACGTCTGCAGGAACGGCGGTCTGGCAGGTGGTGGCGCTCACGGAAGGCTTTTTATGGTCAGTGTGCCGATTGTTGCCTAACCCGTGTGACGTACATTTCACTGTGGCTGGATTTGATCGTATTCTGTATGGCGTTTACACGCATTGACATGCGCGACTTCGGTCGATGTTTGTGCTTACGCACTATCAAGGGGCCAAGTCCTCTTTTACTGGTTTGCCAGTTATTTTGCTGTGGACTACGGTCCAGTTCCCAACTTTGCGTACCCTTCGGGGGGAGCGCATTAAAATGGTTGGCGCTCACCGTGCGCGGCGTGTGTGGGGCCGTGTACCTCCTCCACATTTTTTTTTAAAATGTGGGAGAGCGAAACCCTTGTAGCTGGTATTTGATATAAATATTGTGAGCCTTTTCCAAGCGGGAAGGGATTAATTAATAAGGAATTGACTGTTGTGAACCAGATACAAGTGGAATAGGGACAATTTATTGTTCTTAACCTTTTTGAGCTCTGTCTTCGTGAACGGGGTTCTTTAGCTTATAAGACTCTACCAACAGCTTTCGATTGCTCTCGTGAATATTCATTCTTCCAAGATACACCTAAAAGAACTAAGTTACTATACAAACACAACGTAAAAAAGGGTCCTAACTAAGACGATCACGCCATAAATTTATTAAACGGCCTATATTTAAACCTTTAGAAAGATCAAGTTATACTGGTCACGTAAATTAGATATATTTATATAACTTGCAGATATAGATTCTAAAGAAATACAAGTATAAGTGGATATATAGTAGAAGAGAAAAAAGATGGGGGGGGTTCGTTACAATTTGGTGCCGTGACCAGGATGGAGGTTAAATTTTAAATAGGAGGCCGGTAATATAAAATTATGATGTAGGCTATATGCCTACAATTTGTTGTCCGTGAAATGGAGAGGTGACTTGGAGAGTGGTGTTTGCTGGGGGTGGTTGAGAGTCTGGGGGTGGGGCTTAAATATTAAAATGGAGTAATAATATAGGAGGTGTGTGCATAACGGAGCGAAATAATAAAAAGTGAAATAAGTGGAAAGACTCAATTAGACTAAGTGAAGGACACAACAGGTGTAAAAAAAAAAAAAAAAAAAAAAAAAAAAAAAAAAAAAAAAAAAAACTGCAATACTATATATTATAAAGGGAAATAAGTGGAAAGACTCAATTAAACTAAGTGAAGGACACAACAGGTGTAAAAAAAAAAAAAAATTTAAATGGCTAAAAATAAGAAAAAATCAACCTCACTTAAGGCTAAGTCTAAAGATGAGATGAAAATGCTTCAGAAATTAATTAAGATTGCAGTGAAAACCTTTGAGGTTAAAATAAAGGATCTTGAGGAAAAATTTATTAACCAAACGAAAGATTACCAAATTAAAATAAATCAAGGAGAGGTGTCCGAGGCGAGCACCTCTCATGTAAATGATCCTAGACAAAATATTGTATATAATGTACATAACGTAACAATAGAAAAGCCGAAATTTGGAAATGGAAATACTCATCCAGTATCATTTTTGGAAGATCTCACCAATTATTTAAAGAAAGTTCCATCTAATGGTCTCGAAATTTCGATAGCACAAGAGTGCTTAGTAGGTGAAGCCAAGTATTGGGCTCGCATTAATAATGTGCGTTGGACAACTTTTGATGATTTTAAAGCTGACTTCCTAAGAGTGTTTTGGGGTGAAGAAGAACAAAATAAAGTAAAGAGATTCCTTGTGCAAAATAAATGGAATAGATGTACACACCCCACCATGGTTAGTTATTTTCTTTATGTTGTTGAGAAGGCACAAACATTATCATATCCGATACTTGAAAAACAATTAGTAACTGATGTCATCAGACATTATCCTAAAACTGTGCAGCAATTATGGAGAATAGCTAAAATTGAGACAATAATAGACACGACAGATTTCTTAAGAAACTTAGATGACATCGACAAACAAGATGAAGGTCGTGAACCTTACTATAATGAGAAAAGGAGGAAGTTTAATAATAATACGGAGCAAAAACATAAAGAAATACAACAATCATACAAAACAAGGCGTAAACCCGAAGAGGGAAAAAAGAAGGTTAATGAAGTACATGAAATACATTTCACTAATGACCAACCTGATGTTACGGCTCCTGAGCCAAATTTAGAGCTGGAGAGGTCGAACTAGTTTCCGATTCGACCCCTTACAATGTAAAAGGGAACAAAGCATTAAATATGTTATTAAAACTGGGTTGGCGACCTGGTCAAACATTGGGTAAAAACAATAGAGGGTTGCGAAAACCTATTACTTTAAAAGCAAATTTTAACAGAGAAGGCCTTGGTTATAACGACAATGTAAATAGCATATTGAACACCTTAAAAGCCAGGTCGGACTTGCCCATAACGGAGTTATTCGTGCAAACCGTCTTCGAGGAAGACGAAGATAAATATCAAAGGGAATTTATAGGGAATATGAGATCTGAAATTAAAGTTTCAATATTTGACAAAGAAATAGACGCGCTCCTCGACACTGGGAGCGATGTTACATGCATTTCAGAAAGTTTATATTTACAAGTTAAAGAAAATAATCGTAAAATATCAATAATGCCAGTTAAAGCAATGCAAATAAAAGGTGCTGTTGGGCAGCGCAGCACAAAAATACAACAGATGATCATAATGCCTATAAAGATAGATGAAGTAGTCTTTGAAACACAAACTTTAATTGTAGGTAATTTAATAAGACCTTTAATATTAGGCTTTGACTGGCTCAAGAGAAATAAAATATTGATTGATTTGAGAAATACTACTGTTGGAATAGAATTTAAAGTGAAAAACAAAGGCTACTTTATACCTTTCAAATATAATAATAAATCTGTATTACATAATAACTGCATCAAACAATGTACCGATGATCCCTTAATAAATATAAAAATAGGATCTACATTGGAGGTCTCTGAAAGGGCAAAACTTAGTAAGGTTTTGGAAAAGCATAAGAATATGTTTTCGAGCAAATTGGGAAGAGCCAATTGCTATGAGCATAAAATTGAAATGATCGATGATGAACCTATAGTTACTAGGTCCTATCCCATTCCATATGCATATAGAGCGAAAATGGAAGAAAAGTTAAATGAAATGGAACAAGCTGGTATCATCACAAGGACATCAACGCCTTACAGTAGTCCATTGACATTCACTCTTAAAAAAGACGGCTCAATTAGAGTTCTGCTTGATGCCAGAAGCATAAATAAGAAAATGGTTGCAGAAACAGAGAAACCACCTATACAATTAGATGTTTTGAATTCATTTCACGGAGCGAATTATATCACTACCATTGACTTAAATAATGCATATTTTCAAATTCCGATAAATAAAGATGGTAGAAAATATACTGGATTCACATTCAATGGAAAGTCATATGTATATAATGTTTTGCCTCAAGGATTAAAAACATCAGTAGGAAGCTTTAGCAGAGCCATGAATTTAATATTAGGACCAGAAGTCCAAGAATTTTGTGTGAACTATTTAGATGATCTAGCCATTATTACAACAGGAACGTTAGATAAACATTTGGAGCACATTGATATTGTTTTAAGTAAATTGAACAAAGCTGGCTTAACGTGTAACTTACAGAAATGTGAATTTATTTGTAAAGAAATTAAAATGCTGGGTTTTATAATTTCAACAGAAGGCATAAAGACAGATCCCGATAAGATTCGAGCGATCCAAGAGTTTCCAGCACCTAAAAAGATTAAACAATTAAGGGCCTTTTTAGGTCTATGCAATTTTTATAGAAGGTTTATACCAAATTACAGCGAGAGCATAATACCGCTCTGTGAATTACTTAAAAAGGGACGAAAGTTCCAATGGAGCGGTAAAGAACAGAAGGCATTTGATTTTATAAAACAACAATTTATTAATACAATACAATTGCATCATCCAGACTTTAATAAGCCGTATTATTTACAAACAGATTGTTCCGGTGTGGGTATGCCGGAGTACTATATCAGATAGATGATAATAATGAAATGAGAATTTTAGGCTATCATAGTAAAGCCTTAAAAGGCCCCGAATTAAATTGGTCTGTTACTGAACAAGAGTTTTATGCTGTAATAAGCTGCCTAAAGAAATTTGAAACATATTTGAGGGGCAGTAAAGTAATAATACTAACTGATCATAAAGCATTATTGTTTATTAATAATATGAAGTTATTCAATGGTAGAGTAACCCGATGGATTTTGTATATAGAACAATTTAATTATGAAGTACAGCATATATCGGGTAGACGTAATATTGTTGCAGATGTGCTATCACGTTATCCTCCTGATGGCGATTTAATACAAGAGGATAAAAATAATAGTTTAGAAATTGCTTACACAGAGAGCGAACCGAATATTGAGTTGATAGAAAAATTAAAATCCTTAACAGTATATCAATTACAAGATTCAGAGTCGTTGGCTATTATTGAAAAGTTAAAGACATTAAATACTTCCATAATAAAACAAAACAATAAATTTAAAAGATATAGTTTGAAAAATGATGTATTATATTACAAAACGAATTTACAAGAAGTAATATATTTACCTAAAGCATTGAGACAAGATATTATAAATCAAGTGCATGTCGAAATGGGTCATCAAGGACCCTATAAGGTAATTAAATATGTGAGAGACAGATTCTTTTGGAAAGGTTTAACAAAAGATATTAAAAACCAATTAAGGGCTTGTCATTTATGTCAGTTATCTAAGAAAAGCAATATAACATATGTGGATCCCTGCAAATCTATAATAACAGAAAACATTGGCGATATAGTCATGGCAGACTTATATGGACCACTTGTATCAGGTACCTTTGGGTACACCTTCATATTTGTCATTCAAGATTCATTCAGTAAATTTATCAAATTATATCCTTTAAAACAGTCAACAGCAAAGTCTGTTGTAACAAAAGTAAAGCATTTTGTTGAGATTATAAAGCCCAAGGCAATAATGACAGATAATGGAAAACAGTTCGTAAGTAATCACTGGAAACAATCAATGAGTGAATTAAATATAAAGCCAATATATACCACAGTTAGAAATCCTAGACCAAATACAACAGAGCGAGTAAATAAAGAGTTGAGCAGATTATTTAGGACGCTTTGTCATACTAACCACAAAGATTGGGCGTTAATATTGCCGAAATTAGAAGAATTGTATAATAATTCTTATCACAATAGTACAGGCTTCACGCCTTGTGAGATTCTTTATGGTGAGTCTAATGAGATGTCTTTTGACAAAGTAATTTCCAAAAGTAAAGACAAACATAATGTCGAACAGATTAGACAACAAGTGCGTAAAAATTTAAAAGAGGCAAGTCGAATAAGAAACACAAAATTTGATAAGCGAAATAGATTAATAAAATATAATATTGGTGACTTAGTAAAAATTTCAAGATCTAGTAGATCAGACGCTGATAATAAAGTTATGAGTAAGTTCAATTTGGCATATGAAGGACCTTATGTAATAGCAGCCGTACCATTTGACAATGTATATACCTTAGCAAATCCAGAGACAAACGAAATTAGAGGAATTTTTAATGCTATTCACTTATTAAAATATTTTAAATAATAATTTCTTTTTGTATAAAATAAAATAATTAAATAAATATTGTAACATAAAAGGGTTTTGTGGGTGGCCCATGGAAATAATTGTTTAAGTTAAAGGTCTAAAATTATTAAAGTTATGAGCAAGAGATTTGTTATATGATAGAAGAACGTTATTAATATATAAGAAGAGTTGTAAATATAGATCGTAAGATAATTTTGTAATCATTTTTATTAAATAAATATGGGATTTGGGTCAGGGTGAATGGCTTAATCACATTTATCCTATGTGGTATCGAACTGACCTCAACAAATATCCAAGTGGATTGTATACACATAAAGTGTGACACTATCGAAATAATGTTTCAAAGATTTAAAGATAAATTAATAAATCGACAATTGACTACAAACTTTATTAACAACACGATATACAATAACTTGACGTATGGTGTTATCACATTGTGATAATTGTGGTTGAAGGGGTGTTGGTGGCGGCCATTCTCTGGGGCAGGGGGATTTGATAACATATGCCGTATTGTAACAGATTAAAAGAGGAAAGAACAGATATATCAACAATTATTTGAGTGTAGTGTATATGCTCTCAAAATACTAAAATTTTATATTAACGACTCCACTATGTGGATCATTAACATAAAATTTGGGGGTGGATTGTGACGCCTCATAATTATTATTAATAAATAATAATTAAATTCATTATACAGACATTTAAAAATGTCATAGAAATTATAATTTAAATAATAAAATGCAAATAATAAGCATAGAGTTCAAAAATATCCATTTGGAATATTGAATATTATATATATTAGTAAACGCATAAAATGTCTCAAAAAAATCTCTAAATTTATTAAAAACCTGCTTAAAATGTTCAAAATATAACAAATCATATAAATACAAGGCGATTATATTGCAATAACAAAGATAAATAACATTTGTAATATAATAGAAAAAATTGATAAAAATTTTCTAAGTTGATGAAGGTGTTCGTGTAATAATTGGAAAATTTCTAAGTTAATGAACGTGTTCTTGTAATGTTCCCTTATATTGGGGCGTTGTCGGAGACACATACCCAAGGTTGTACATATATATGGGGTGGTCGGCTGACCGACTGCTAGTACTAAGGTTGCACAATGACTAGTCCTATATTAGGGACTTAACATAGTAAGGTCTGACGAACCAAAGCATTAATATAGAAGGTCTCTATGATGCATAAGCATTATGATAGCAGAGTTATGACTTGAAGTCCCATATGAATAAGACATACAGTAGTATGGTCTATGAAATAAAGCAAATATGTGGAAGGTCTCAAATATGTAAAAGCATTATATTGAAAGAAATGGGACTTGAAAAGTATTATTATAGTGGCGTGTAGGTTGCTTCGCAGCCTCTGAGACCGAGGTAAACTTGGACTCACTAACCGATGTGTCCTAGACATATCATCTTAGTGCCGGTGGTAAGCGGGTTTGTTGTAGCAATACGACTTGCCCGTGGACATCGCACACCCCTACCGGTTGTGGGCGGCGTCTTAGCGCATAGCGTTATGATACGTCGGCTATCTTTCGGATTAGGGTGAGTGTGTTTGGTAGTACTTTTAAGTGCAGCAAGCATACTCAACTTCATGTCTTAGTGCAATAGCGCTATGATACGTGGAGTATTGGCTACTGACGTCTTAGTACCGTACTACTATGATACGTTGGTGGTATTTTTAGTTAACAACATTATCAAATTTTGTTACCAAAGTCGATAGGGATCATGTGGGTGTGTTGTGAGGGGGCGCCATCCGTATGATAGTTGCATTGATGCTTACTGCTACTTGCAGTATTGTGTCTTGTGATGGATCTGCGGGTGTGCTGCACCTGATTCGATGCATCTTGTGGTTCTGGTCGATGGAGGTATGCGGGTGGTGATGTCTGCTGGGACTGTATGGGGGACCTTGGGATGGTGTAAGCCCGACGATAGTCGTATTGATGCTTGTTGCATTCTGTAGCATTGCGTCTCTACGATGGTTGTTTGGCGGGTCGCTATTCTCAATGGCGCTCTCTGCGTCTTGGTTTGACTCACAACCTAAGTAGCTTTGCCCAAGTCGGGTCCCTTCATTGCGGGGCTGCAGACTGTCTGCCCTCCATGATGTTTTATATAACAACTTAATAATATATCTCTATAAAGTTCCCACCTTTGAGAGATTGAAGGCAACTTGTTGGTGGGTGAGACAAACATGATCGAAAAATGCATATACTCAACGTCAGTGACACAAACCCTTTCTGATGGCGAATTATTAATATTATCTTATAACTGCCTATTGGCTATATCTGCCATTGTATTGGTTGGTGATGCATATGTGTTGAAAAAACACGCGACACATTTACTATCAGACTTGCAAAACTGTAAACAGTCATCCGAGGACGTCACTAAGTTTTCTTTAAAATTAGAACAAATTTTAACAAAAATTCAATCAGATATACACTATGGTTGCAAAAACGCTGATGAGCTTCCAGGTAGAATAGCCGCCATGGAGGATCTAGCATTAAATACATTTTTGTTAGGGTTAAATCCTGCTATTTCTACTATTGTTAGATGTAGGAACCCTCAAACTCTAAATGAAGCTGTTCAATTTGCGATAGAAGAGGAAAAATTACAAAATCTCCAAACATGTTCAAAAAATTCAATAAAACAGTGTAGTATATGTAATAAAGTAGGCCATGTTGTTACTCAATGTTTTAAAAATAAAAAACATTCTAATTGTAATCATAATAAACAAATTTCTCATTTATCTAGTTCTTATTCTGGTAAATTAATGTGTAATTATTGCAAAAACATAGGGCACACTATTGATCAATGTAGAAAGCGACAATATAATATGCAACAACGTCAAAATTTTAATAAAAACTTTAATCATAACTCTAATACTAATTCTAATTATATAAATCGTAGCCCAAATAATAATTCTAATTTTGTAAGTCGTAACCCTATTCCTAATTCTAGTTCCAACTCTGTGCCTATGCACATGACATGTGATAACGACGACGCTGTCGATAACTCTAACTCTTTAAACTGAATAAGATTTCGGATGCGTGTCTGCCGAAATCGTACTATCGTAACGACACGAAAACAATTAACACTACTTTTTCTACTAAATCTTATAAAAATCCTTATGCTAAATCTTATTCTAATTCTTATTCTAACTCATCTCGGCAATGCTTTAGCAAGCAACCGAGTCATTCTAGCTCATTTACATCTCAGTTACCCAAAGAGGAACTGAGTCATTATAAGTCTATTACATCTCAGCAACCCAAAGAGGTGAAGCTGAGTCTTGCTAGTTCTTATGCATCTCAGTTGACCAAAAAGGTACAACCGAGTAATACTAAATCGTTTACTATATCTACATCTCAGCAACCCAAAGAGGTGAAGCTGAGTCTTGCTAGTTCTTATGCATCTCAGTTGACCAAAAAGGTACAACCGAGTAATACTAAATCGTTTACTATATCTACATCTCAGCAACCCAAGGAGGTGAAGCTGAGTCTTGCTAGTTCTTATGCATCTCAGTTGACCAAAAAGGTACAACCGAGTCCTACTAAATCGTTTACTATATCTTCATCTCAGCAACCCAAAGAGGTTAACCTCTAACTAGGCTTAAGCCTAGTCTTAATGAATCTTATTCTAATTCTATTCCTATCTTTGAAACGAGCATAAATACATGCAATGTTTCGTTACCATATACAAATCTATTTACAAAATATTCTCCTAAGTGTCTCAAACTTCTTATCGATACCGGCGCGAGTGTCTGTGTCATTAAACACTCATGTTTAAAAATGAAACATGAACTTCTTAAGGACCAAATAAGAATCAAAGGTATAAATGATACGGATACATATTGCGAAACGCTAGGCTCAATCTACTTACAATTTTTATTAAGTGATGAAACTTACGAGTATAAATTTTACGTTATTAACGATAATATAAATCTTAATTACGACGGTATTATTGGTACAGATTTTCTTAAATATTTTAATGCTAATATAGATTATAGCTCTAAGATAATGACTCTGTGTGGTTACCAAGTTCCCATTATATTTCATCAGCCAACATACATCGTTCCGGCACGCTTAGAAGCCGTCATTGAATGCGCTATATCAAATTACTCGGTCAAGCTTTATCACAATAATGAAGGCTTAGTTCTAGATCATACCTTAAGCGAGGGTATTTACGTCGCGAATTGTATTGTATCAATAAAACCAAACAAAAAAGTTAACATCACCGTTTTAAACACGACTGACACAGACTTAGAAATTAAAGATTATTTCGTAGAATTGACACCGATCGATTATAATAATTCTATTTCCTGCAAAAATCCAATATCTAGTAAAAGTTTATATTCTATTTCTACTTCTAAATCTAATCGAATAGATCGAGTATTAAGTCTTTTACGCTGCTCCCATCTCAACGATGAAGAAAAGAAAGCACTTTTAAATTGCTGTTCCGATTATACGGATATCTTTCACCTCGAAGGTGAACCCCTTCCGTTTACGAATGGCATCCAACATTCCATAGATACGGGTAACGCGGCCCCAGTTCACGTAAAATCATATCGCTTCCCTGAGTGTCATTAGGAAGAAGTCGATACACAAATTCGCAAAATGCTAAATCAAAACATAATTCGTCCCTCTGTTTCGCCTTGGAGCGCCCCTGTATGGGTAGTCCCGAAAAAATTAGACGCTTCTGGCAAAAGAAAGTGGAGAATAGTCATTGACTATCGCCGTCTTAATGACATCACAGTTTCCGAAAGTTATCCCCTGCCTCCGAAAGTTATCACTGATATCCTAGATCAATTAGGCCATTCCAAGTATTTCACAACCCTTGATCTTGCTAGCGGTTTCCACCAAATAAAGATGGATCCTAAAGATGCCCAAAAAACGGGATTTACTATTAATACTAATTCGAGCATGTCTGGTAACTACGAATTCACTAGAATGCCTTTTGGTTTAAAAAACGCTCCTTCTACCTTCCAGCGCCTGATGAATACTGTCTTATCAGGTTTGCAAGGTCTACACTGCTATGTTTATCTAGATAATTGCATAATTTATAGTCATAATTTAAATGAACATATGGAAAAATTAAAACTAGTATTCAATAAGCTGCGCGAATACAATCTAAAATTGCAACCAGATAAGTGCTAATTTTTAAGACGTGAAGTAACTTATCTTGGTCATATTATCACCGATAAGGGTGTCTCTCCTAATCCAGAAAAAGTAAAAGCAGTGTCTCAATTTCCAATTCCTAAGAGCCCTAAAGAAACTAAATCCTTCCTAGGCCTAATAGGCTATTATCGCCGATTTATTGATAATTTTTCTAAATTGACAAAACCACTTACTTCTTTATTAAAAAGGGATACTACTTTCCACTGGTCTCAAGAACAACAAATTGCTTTCGATGTTTTAAAAGAAAAATTAATCACTGCCCCGCTGCTCCAATATCCAGACTTCTCTCAACCGTTTATAGTAACTACAGATGCAAGTAATTATGCCGTAGGTGCAATCTTATCCCAAGGTCCTGTAGGCAAAGATAAACCGATAGCTTATGCATCACGTACTCTAAACCGTCCCGAAGGCAATTATTCAACTACCTAAAAGGAACTTCTAGCCATTCTATTCGCAGTCAAAACGTTTCGTCCTTATCTCTACGGTAATAAATTCAAAATAGTTACTGATCATAGACCATTGGTATGGCTATTCAATGTCAAAGACCCAGGTAGTAGACTCATTCGTTGGCGCTTAAAACTCGAAGAATACGATTACGAAATTGTTTATAAACAAGGCCGTCTTAATTCTAACGCCGATGCGTTATCTCGCTGTCCCGTTAATGTTATAGATATTAACACTTTAAATAATTCTAGTTATGAAAAATATTTTAAGGACCAATTTACAAATAAAACTCCTATTTCAAATACAATAATCTTAGAATGTACTCAAGGATTACACCTATCCAAACTAAAAACTATTGCGTGTCCCGTCTCTTTAGATTTTGACTCATCTATACCTCACTGTGAAGAAATATTAGCACAATTAGACAAGCCTGAGGACTTATTAAATTCCGAACGCGAACCATTTACAATTCAATGCGTAAAGGATAAGAATAAATCTTACTATTTTATGTACACTAAGACTCATCATTATGAAGAAACCAAATTTAATGATATTTACAATTTAATTATAAAACTCAGAGATAAAATTTTAATCGAGAATCCTGATATTACAGATCTCGCCTTATCAGACTTTTCAGATCCATTTTCTAAGTTAGCTTATATTAAAGTATATAATATGATTGCCTATATTTTTCATAACACTAACATTAAAATTCATATATACAAAAATCAATTAATTTATCCTACTCCCGTCGAAATCCCTAAAATTTTAAAAGAGAATCACGATTCACCTATTGCGGGTCACCCAGGTTCAAGTCGTATGTATAGACGAATTAAAGCCGCCTATTATTGGAAAAGTATGCGCTCTGACATTGTAGATTATGTAAAGAAATGCCAATTATGCCAAATTAATAAACCATTAAGAATGTCCAATAAGGCCCCAATGGAAATAACTTCTACTTCACTAGACCGTTTGAACGATTAGCTCTCGACATCGTTGGTCCTTTACCTGACGCAGGTTTTCAAAAATTCAAATTCATCCTTACATTACAAGATGATTTAAATAAATTTTCAAGTGCTTATCCCCTGGTCACAGCTACCAGTGAAGAAATAGCCAGAAATCTTGTACATTTTATGTCTCTTTTCGGTTTCCCTAAAACAATCTTAACGGATTTAGGTACTTGTTTTACGTCTGATTTATTTAAAGAATTAACTCGAATCTTAAAAGTCAAGGCTTTATTTACTACTCCTTACCACCCACAAACAAATGGAGCTCTAGAACGCTCACATGCTACCTTAAAAGAATACTTAAAATCTTTCGTTAATGAAAACCAGAACGACTGGCATTGTTATTTATTTACCGCAATATTAGCTTATAATACTACCCCTCATTGCACTACCAATTTCACCCCTCATGAATTATTATATGGTTATAAACCTAATATCCCTAATTATCTATATGAAACGAACAATAATACTACTTATAATGAGTATATTCGAGCTTTACAATATCGAATGCGTTTTAGTAGAGAAAAGGCCATTCAAAATATAATTAATAGCAAAGAAAAATCCAAACAATATTACGATGTAAGTTCACGCGAAATTTCGTATAAAATTGGTGACTTAGTTTATATAAAAACCCATCACCGACTTCGTAAGGCCCTATCACCTATATGGAAAGGTCCATATAAAATTATAAAAGTCCATAATAAGCACAACGTTACTTTACAAGTAGGTCGTAAACATGTTAAGTATCATATAAACGAGATTAAGCCTGCTATTAACACTCCTTAAATTTAACTTATTTTATATATTTTTCAGAGCTTTATGCTATGGAAGCCAAAGCCACGCTGAGTCGAGGATCATACCTATATCACATAGTCCTGGAATTTATTTTGAACCTATTACGCATATTAACTTTTATAACGATTATTGGAAGGTCATAACACATATAGACCTTATACCTTTAGCTCCTTATCTCAATAAAATTGAAAATTTATTATATGATACCTTAAACCTTTGTTCCAAAATAAATACTGACGAATTTTCCCAATGTAAAGATTTTTCAAATCCTATAGAGATTTTAATAAAATATAATTACGTCAAATTGCAATCCCTAGCACATATAATCGATAACAATCAATCGCCAAATAGAGTTAAAAGATCTCTAGAATTTGGAGGCGAAATTCTTAAATTTTTCTTCGGTACTCTAGACGCAGATGATGCGCGAAAATATGATGCCGCGATAGAATTATGTCGGAAAAGTGAAACAGAACTATTAAATTTATTCAGAGACAATATTCACATAATTAAATCTACCATAAATAATTTGCCACTATTTATAAATTACACCAAATTCTCATTTTAAAACTCTCTGAGTTTTATAATTAAATTGTAAATATCATTAAATTTGGTTTCTTCATAATGATGAGTTTTAGTGTACATAAAATAGTAAGATTTATTCTTATCCTTTACGCATTGAATTGTAAATGGTTCGCGTTCGGAATTTAATAAGTCCTCAGGCTTGTCTAATTGTGCTAATATTTCTTCACAGTGAGGTATAGATGAGTCAAAATCTAAAGAGACGGGACACGCAATAGTTTTTAGTTTGGATAGGTGTAATCCTTGAGTACATTCTAAAATTATTGTATTTGAAATAGGAGTTTTATTTGTAAATTGGTCCTTAAAATATTTTTCATAACTAGAATTATTTAAAGTGTTAATATCTATAACATTAACGGGACAGCGAGATAACGCATCGGCGTTAGAATTAAGACGGCCTTGTTTATAAACAATTTCGTAATCGTATTCTTCGAGTTTTAAGCGCCAACGAATGAGTCTACTACCTGGGTCTTTGACATTGAATAGCCATACCAATGGTCTATGATCAGTAACTATTTTGAATTTATTACCGTAGAGATAAGGACGAAACGTTTTGACTGCGAATAGAATGGCTAGAAGTTCCTTTTCGGTAGTTGAATAATTGCCTTCGGGACGGTTTAGAGTACGTGATGCATAAGCTATCGGTTTATCTTTGCCTACAGGACCTTGGGATAAGATTGCACCTACGGCATAATTACTTGCATCTGTAGTTACTATAAACGGTTGAGAGAAGTCTGGATATTGGAGCAGCGGGGCAGTGATTAATTTTTCTTTTAAAACATCGAAAGCAATTTGTTGTTCTTGAGACCAGTGGAAATTAGTATCCCTTTTTAATAAAGAAGTAAGTGGTTTTGTCAATTTAGAAAAATTATCAATAAATCGGCGATAATAGCCTATTAGGCCTAGGAAGGATTTAGTTTCTTTAGGGCTCTTAGGAATTGGAAATTGAGACACTGCTTTTACTTTTTCTGGATTAGGAGAGACACCCTTATCGGTGATAATATGACCAAGATAAGTTACTTCACGTCTTAAAAATTAGCACTTATCTGGTTGCAATTTTAGATTGTATTCGCGCAGCTTATTGAATACTAGTTTTAATTTTTCCATATGTTCATTTAAATTATGACTATAAATTATGCAATTATCTAGATAAACATAGCAGTGTAGACCTTGCAAACCTGATAAGACAGTATTCATCAGGCGCTGGAAGGTAGAAGGAGCGTTTTTTAAACCAAAAGGCATTCTAGTGAATTCGTAGTTACCAGACATGCTCGAATTAGTATTAATAGTAAATCCCGTTTTTTGGGCATCTTTAGGATCCATCTTTATTTGGTGGAAACCGCTAGCAAGATCAAGGGTTGTGAAATACTTGGAATGGCCTAATTGATCTAGGATATCAGTGATAACTTTCGGAGGCAGGGGATAACTTTCGGAAACTGTGATGTCATTAAGACGGCGATAGTCAATGACTATTCTCCACTTTCTTTTGCCAGAAGCGTCTAATTTTTTCGGGACTACCCATACAGGGGCGCTCCAAGGCGAAACAGAGGGACGAATTATGTTTTGATTTAGCATTTTGCGAATTTGTGTATCGACTTCTTCCTAATGACACTCAGGGAAGCGATATGATTTTACGTGAACTGGGGCCGCGTTACCCGTATCTATGGAATGTTGGATGCCATTCGTAAACGGAAGGGGTTCACCTTCGAGGTGAAAGATATCCGTATAATCGGAACAGCAATTTAAAAGTGCTTTCTTTTCTTCATCGTTGAGATGGGAGCAGCGTAAAAGACTTAATACTCGATCTATTCGATTAGATTTAGAAGTAGAAATAGAATATAAACTTTTACTAGATATTGGATTTTTGCAGGAAATAGAATTATTATAATCGATCGGTGTCAATTCTACGAAATAATCTTTAATTTCTAAGTCTGTGTCAGTCGTGTTTAAAACGGTGATGTTAACTTTTTTGTTTGGTTTTATTGATACAATACAATTCGCGACGTAAATACCCTCGCTTAAGGTATGATCTAGAACTAAGCCTTCATTATTGTGATAAAGCTCGACCGAGTAATTTGATATAGCGCATTCAATGACGGCTTCTGAGCGTGCCGGAACGATGTATGTTGGCTGATGAAATATAATGGGAACTTG